ACATCTCCTGTTAATCTGCAGTTTCTACCCAAATACTGTAATGGGAAATCAAGGCACCTGACAATACCACACTTGTTTGTTAATGATGTCAGAAAAACACGTAGGTTCAATAAGTCTTGATACAAAATGATAAGAACCCTATAACCCGAGCACTTTCGAAAGGTGGACCTTTCTTCTTCAGGGGTAAACTGTATGTTACATACTGTACCGAATAATATCACACTTATATGTAATATAGTGCACCTGAGAATACCACATATGTTATACAGTTCAACGTAGAATACCACACCTGTATGTTATATAGTGCACCAGAGAATGCTACACATGTATGTCATAAAATGCACCCGAGTACCACACCTGTATTTTATACAGTGCTTATCAAAATGCCACACTTGTATGTTATACAGTGCACCTAAGAATACCTCACCTATTTGTTATATAATGCAACTGAAAATCCCACACCTGTATATTATATAGTGCACCCAAGATTACACACCCGTATGTTATACAGAGCACCTTAAAATCCCACACTTGAATTTTAGACAGTGCACCTGAGTACCATACCTGTATTTTATATGGTGTACCTGAAATGTCACACCTATCTATAAAACAGTGCACCTTAGAATACCATACCTGTATGTTATAAAGTGCACCTGAAATGCCACACCTGTATATTATATGATGCACTTGAGAGTACCACACCTGTATGTTATATAGTGCACTTGAGAACGCCACACCTATATCTTATACAGTACACCTGAAATGCCACAGCTGTATGTTATATATTGCACCAGAGAATACCACACCTATATTTATAGTGCGCATGAAATGCCGCACCTGCAAGTTATACGGTGCACCTGAGAATGCCACATATGTATGTTATACAGTGCAAATGAAAATTCCACACCTGTACATTATACAGTGCACCAGAGAACACCATACCTGTGTTATATAGTGCACCTGAGAGTACCACACATGCATGTTATGTAGTGCACCTGAAATACCACACCTCTATATTATATAGTGCATCTCAGAATGCCACCCCTCTGTCTTATATAATGCACCTGAGAGTACCACACCTATATAATATAGTGTACCAGAGAATACTACACCTATGAGTTATAGAGTGCAGTTGAAATACCACACCTCTATATTATATAGTGCATCTCAGAATGCCACCCCTCTGTCTTATATAATGCACCTGAGAGTACCACACCTATATAATATAGTGTACCAGAGAATAGTACACCTATGAGTTATAGAGTGCAGTTGAAATACCACACCTCTATATTATATAGTGCATCTCAGAATGCCACCCCTCTGTCTTATATAATGCACCTGAGAGTACCACACCTATATGTTATAGTGTACCAGAGAATAGTACACCTATGAGTTATAGAGTGCAGTTGAAATACCACACCTGAATTTT